ATTAGCTTGGCTATATTCTGCCCTGTAATAGGCCAAAGCAGCTTTATTCACTAACTAATAAAAGCAACACATATACAGAAGGACATCCTATATCATTCCCCCTTTTGTCTAAATAAAAAAAGGTTTTAACTTTATCATAGTAAAATTACATATAACAAAACAGTTATCAAGCAAAAATTATAGTTACAACATTTCTTTGTGAGTCTAAGCTTTTATATCTAATTTATCTTTTATCATAACTAAGGAAAACTATATAACTATCTGTCTTCAACTCTTTAAAGACCCCAGAAGGATATAATACAGAAAGTACATTGTAAGCAATTTCCAAACCTCTAGATTTGATGGAGATATCTCTCTGCCTGGACAGTCACCCAAAGTTCTTCTGTAACATTGAGGCACCCATCCTCAGCCTACAGGCCCATAGTATCTGGCAGACTTTTCCATGAATCAGGAAATTTGAAGATTCTGCCTTGTAATGGCTAAGTAGCTTTCTTCTGTGTCCTGCAGAATGCCAAGCAGCCCAGGCAAGTTTGTTGCCCAAATGTCTAGCCTTGCCACATTGAAAGCAAACTACATGAGGAGCTTCTTCAGTGCCCATCATCCTCTTGAAGTATTGGTGCTGCCAGGACCAGATGTCTCTCACTGTTGAGAAAAGTGTATGTTTTTATAACGTTTTAAAAGCCATATTTTGTAGGTCTTTGAAGTGTTTGAAGATTACCTATACATCTGAAACATATCTCTGCATATCCAGAAAACCTAACATTGTGTTTGACTATTATAGATGACTATTAATTTGTATTTTTAACTGTACGTTACATTTTAAAATGAGCTGCATAAACATAACATCAATAACAAGAGTAGAAATATATATATAGTATAACAAAATTGACCATAAATTAACAAAATTAACTTTAAATTTGTATCACTATACCAAAATCCATGTCAATGAAAAACATCTAAGATTAATAGTTGTCTTTTTATCCTATATTCCTATATTCACCTAAATATAACAAACATCCATAATCTAACAAATAACTAAAAACCATTTATAAACCTCAAAACTCTTGGGAATGCAGACGTCATTTTCTCTAAACTTCTTCCTGCTGTCTGTAGGTAAAATATCTTTAGGGTCCTTGATAAAATTTTGAGATGATGACCAAGTCCTGGGAGGACTAGTAGTAACCTTTGTTAATGGAGATCACCTGTCAAGTTTCAGGAGGTCTCTCTTGATCAAAGCTGGTCCATATTAACCTTAAATGGTCCATAGCCCCTTGTTTCCTGTGGAAACAAAACCAAAACTGCTTCTCCAAAGCAGTGCATCTTTTTTTTTTCGGTTTAAAGATTTATTTCTTAATTATGTATACAATATTCTGCCTGCATGTACATCTGCAGGCCTGAAGAGGGCACCAGACCCCATTACAGATGGTTGTGAGCCACCATGTGGTTGCTGGGAATTGAACTCAGGACCTCTGGAAAAGCAGGCAATGCTCTTAACCAATGAGCCATCCCTCCAGCCCAAGCAGTGCATCTTTTAAGTTCGATTTTACAAATCTATTTTTTGACTTCGGCTTTGAAGCTAAGGCATTTATAAGTATTTAGGTTTGTGTATTTTATCAGTCTCTCTTTCAGTCCCATGTCTCTCACAAGCTGTCTCTTGTCCATCAGCCAGCAAAAAAAAAAAAAAAATCATAATCAACACAATACTATACATGATCCAGAGTCCCTGTGCATTTTCATCTTTATGTGACATTTTTATATTGTTTTTACTGTCTCTTAAAGACTTTGTTTTATTTTTTTAAAAAATATTTAATTTTTTAAATCAGTGTCTATCATCCTCCTCCTCCTCCTTCCCCCCTCCCCTCTCTGTCTCTCCCCCAAGCCTACGTACAATTTTTAAACACACTGTGACCCATTTAGAGGGGGTTTTGGTCTGAATCTCTCTTTATTGCATATCTGTTGTCGTTTGTGATCACTATTTTAAACTGTTGAGTGGGTATGGCTAGGACCAGAGCAGCTGCCTTGGCTGCTGATTCCATTCTGCTTGGCTTTTCAACATGGCAGAGGACCAATGAGCATCATGCTCACCAGTCCCACACCTCAATGCTGCCATCAGGGAGTGAGCAACCGGTCCACACACTGTTTTTATCTCAATGAGCGAAAGCTAAATCCTCCACACGGTGTAGGGTGGTTAGCCTCTCTCTACCGAGGCCTGTGTGAGACGACAGAAGCCCACCCGCCACTGTGCTTATCATGGCTGGTGGCCAGCTCCATCTTGCTGGCAGCTATTGGAAGATGATGCATCTCTGTGTTGCTGCTGGCATGAGACTGTCAGAAAAGGAAGCCCAGTGTGGATCCATTTCTGTGATTTCAGAAACTTTTTTAAAGTTTTCTCAGGCCCTATGGAAATTTGAGAGGCTCACACTGGTATGCCATTTGGGAAGTTTCTGTCCCACCCACCAGTTCCTGAAAAACCATTCAGAGACTAAATATTAATTAGAAATTACCTGAGGTAATACGTGAGGTAATTCTTCACGTATTACCTCAGGCTTATTATTAACTACCTCTTACAACTTAAATGAATCCATTTCTATACCTTATTGGCATAAAAACAGACAGGTGGATCAATGGAATAGAATCGAAGACCCAGAAGTATTGACTGAGTTGTCTGCTCTGCCCAGTTCCCGCAGTTGTTAAGTCCCAAAGAAATCACACAGAGGTCTGCATTAGTTATAAACTGATTGGCCCATTAGCTCAGGCTTCTTATTAACTCTTATAACTTATATTAGCCCATTATTCTTGTCTATGTTAGTCATGTGGCTCGGCACCTTATTCAGCAAGGCAGTCACATCTTTCTTTTTCTGTGGCTGGGTCATGACTGCAGACTAGGACTTCCTTCTTCCCAGAATTCTTCTGTTCTCATTGACCCACCTCTACTTCCTGTCTTGTTGTCCCACTTATATTTCCTGCCTGCTCAAGTAATATTATCTCCCTTCTCAGGTCTTCGATGGGGTTAAAGATTAGATAGTCATAGTTACTCTACTCTTATGATCTAGCCAAGCCATTTCCTATACAAGACTTAGAATACATAGGATAAAATGCTTATTAAAACATTTAACATATGTTCCTTGCTTAATATTGTTTATGCTGGTTGTAATTCTAATTATACTTGATATCTGTTCCTGTGTATATAGTTTTGTATTGGATGTGGAATTCTCTTATTTAAACAAAAAGGGGAGGTGCTGTGGGAGCACATTCTGCTCCTTCAACCAATAGTCTTTAAGATACCAGCCCACTTGGGTGTGGTCTCATACTATAAAAAGCAGCCGTAACTGTGTGCCCACTCTCTTGCTTCTGGCTCCCACTTCCAGCTGTTACATTCTATTCCTGTTCACTCAGAGGACTGTTGTCTAGGACAGTGATCTGTAAGTTTTCCCCTTAAATAAATAACCTTTTTATTATCCACAATTCTGAACTTGTGTGGGATTGTTTTGTGACTTACACCTTCATAGACCTATGGACCCTTGATTTTCAACAAAGAAGACAAAATTATACATTGTAAGGAAAAAAGCATCTTCAACAAATGGTGCTGGTCTAACCAGATGTCTGCATGTAGAAGAATTCAAATATATGCATATCCATCACCTACACAAAACTCAAGTCCAAGTGAATCAAAGATCTCATCAATCCAATCACATTGAACCTGCTATTAGAGAACTTGGGAAATAGACTTGAACAAACTGGCACAGGAGACAGCTTCCTGAACAGGAAGCACTGGCACCAAGATCAAAAAAATTAATAAATGGGATCTCATGAAAATGAAGTTTCTTTAAGACAAAGGATACTGTCAACAGGACAAAACAGCAGTCTACAGAATGGAAAAAGATCTTCATCATCTCACATTTGATAGAGGGCTGATATCCAACACACACACACACACACACACACACACACACACACACACACACTAAGAAACTAGACATCAACAAAGCAAATAATTCAATTAAAAACAGGGTACAGATCTAAACAGGGAATTCTCAACAGAAGTATCTCAAATGGCTAAGAAGCCCTTAAATGTTCTATCGCCTTAGCCACTGGCAAACACAAATCAAAACTATTTTGAGATTCCATTTTACACCTGTCAGAACGGCAAAGCTCACAAACACAAGTGACAGCTCATGCTGGTGAGGATGTGGAGCAAGGGGAACACCCCTTCACTGCTGGTGGGTATGCAAACTTGTGCATCCACTATGGAAATCAATATGGCAGTTCCTTGGAAACAATCTAGATGTGCCTCAACTGAAGAACAGATAAAGAAAATGTGGTCCATTTACACAATGAGCACTGCTCAGCTAGTAAAAACAAGGACACCAGGACATTTGAAGGCAAATGGGAGGAGTTATGATAGATTATCTGAGTGAGGTAACCCAGGCAGAAAGACAAACATGGCATGTACTTACTTATAAATGGATATTAGCTGTAAAGTAGAGGATAACCATGCTGCAATCATAGACCCATGGAAGCTAGGAAACAAGGAGGCCTCAAGGAAGGATGTTTGAATCTCCCTGGGAAGAGAAAATAGAATAGATTCTGAGGGTATACTTAGGGTGGGTGGGGATGGGAAGAGGAGGAACCAGGTAGGGGGAGGGTGGAAGGAGAGAGTACTAGGAAAGACAACTGGAACTGGGGATATCTCTGAGATGAGCTAGAAACCCAGTGCAGTGGAAACTGCCAGAAATCTAAGAGGAAGACCCTAGCAAAGACTTGTAGCAATGAGGAATATCTAACCTGAACCGGCCATCTCCTGTAGCCAGGCAAGACTTCCAGTGGAGGGACTGCAACATCAACCTAGCCACAAAACCTTCACCTGTAATTAGTCCTGCAAACAAAGTGTGCTGGGGTAAAGGTGGCGCAGAAATTGTGGGAGTGGCCATGCCATGGGAGAACCCACCTCTGACACTGCCTGGAGGGCCAGAACCCAGAGACCTAGGAGAGAACCAAACATGACCGACAAAAATGGCAATGTAATGATGCCTAATGATATTCTGTTATGCGCAAAGATTGGTGCCTAGCCCAGTTGCTATCAGAGAGGCTTCACCCAGCAACTGGTGGGAACAGATTTATAGATGCACAGCCAAACATTAAGTGAAGTTCAGGGAATTCTGTGGAAGAGTAGGAGGAAGGATTGTGGAGCCAGAGGGGTCAAGGACACCATGCAAAAATCCACAGAATCAACTAACCTGAGCTCATAGGAGCTCACAGAGATTGAACTGCCAACCAGGGAACCTACATGGGGCTGACTTAGGCCCTCTGCACATATGTTACAGTTGTGGGGATCCTAACGGTGAGAGTAGGGGCTGTCTCTGACTCTGTTGCCCCACCATAAATCACATGACTCAGGCTATCTGATGTGACCAATGCTGCATATTAATAAAGACTGATTTACCAGGAAGGCGTTTTCAGAGACGGGAAAATGCCAAGCCTGTCCTGAGTGACATAACCGTCTCACTGACAGGCAGAACTCTGAAAACTTGAGGTGGGACTGGTTTCCACTTTGGATCTCTCCCCACAGGGTTGTTTCCCCCAGTTCTGTTTGATATGAAGACAACAGCAGTGGAGGACGGTCTATGCAGTACAGTCCCCTGTGTGTTTGAATTTTCCAAGGCATCTCCAAGAAATCCCATGACTATGAGCTACAGGCTTAATGAGACCATCAGCTTCCATGTAGACACCCGTCAGCCCAGAGCCCCCGTGGGTGATATCTCCACAGAGGACGTAGAAGACTGCATCCTGATGACCCGTGATGTGATCAGAAGGGAAAACATGACCTACTTGCTCTATGAGGGTCTGAGAGAGGACGTGGGACTCTTCATGTCAGGTGATGCTCAGGCTTGAATACTAAGTGGTTTGGGAAGTAGGAAATCCAGAGGGAGTGCTGGTGAATCCGTGGCTGTTACTTCATTGGGCGCTGAATGTTATACTATCTGAGGTGTCCCCCCCCCATCACACACACACACACACACACACACACACACACACACACACACACACAGAGAGAGAGAGAGAGAGAGAGAGAGAGAGAGAGAGGGAGGGAGGGAGGGAGAGAGAGAGAGAGAGAGAGAGAGAGAGAGAGAGAGAGCACAGCACAAAGAAGTCAGCTAAAAATAAAAAAGTTGGGGACTGATAAGGCAGTCAATGGATAAAGGCACTTGCACAAGCTTGAAGACCTGCGTTCCATCCCTGTGGCCCACATGGTAGAAATGACTCCTGCAAAATGTCTTCTGACCACCATATGCATGCCTGGTCACACATAAATTAACTAGTGTAAAAATCACAAAACCTTAGGTGTTTGATTTCCAAAGTAATATAATGCTTTGCATATAACTTCTCTCTAAACAGAGATTTCAAAGACAGAGCAGGCATAGTGGCTTGTGTGTGTGATCTCAGTGCTTGGGAAGGCCTGTCATGGGCTGCAGAGTGAGTTCCAGGCTTACCCACACAACACCAGGCATGGTAGCACACATCTGTAATTGCATCATTCCCGTGGCAGGATGGAAGGCAGAGGAAGCCGGATCCTGGGAAGCTGAGGGTCAGCTAGCCTGGCATTCACAGCAGAGAACAAGAGGCCATGTTGAGCAAGGTGGAAGGCAAGGACTGACACCTGAGGTTTTTCTACAACCTCCACACATATACGTTGGCACGCTTGTGTTTGTATTCACTTATATGAGCATGTGCGTGCACACATGTACTTAGAGAGATTATTTTAATTTTAAAAGAGGAGGGAAATGACCACAGATAAGTTTGGGGAGGGGCAGAGCCCATCGCGAGAGGTGGGTGGGAATGAGGCTGAGTAGGATCTCACAGTGGGAGGTCTAGTCTGAGGGTATGATGAACCATGCGCACTGTAGATCAAGAAACTCATCCACCATCAGTGTTTATCCAGACTCAGGTATGAGATGACCCAGAGGGTAAAGACGCTTCCCACCAAGACTGACAACCTGAGTTCAACCCCTGGAACCCAAATGCTGAAAGAAAGACCAACTCCCACAAACTGTCCTTGCTTCTCTGTGTTCATGCCATAGTGCACACACACATACACACACTAGAGAAATGAATAAATCTATTTTTAAAGTTTTATTATATTCATTTGTATGTGTGTGGGGGATGAGAGGTGTTTGCACTGTTAGTTGGTGGGTTTTTTTTTTTTTTGCCAATTTGATATAAGTTAGAGTCATTTGGGAAAATTTGACACAAGCTAGAGTCAATGGAGAAAATGCCTATAGTCAATTCTATAAGGCATTCTCTTGATTAATAATTGGTATAAGATGACTAAACCCACTGTGGGTGATATCACCCCAAGACAAGTGGTCCTGGGTTGTATAAAATGCAGACTGAGCAAGCCAAGAAGCAGAGGTCCTCCCTCCATGGCTTCTGCTCCAGTCCCTTCCTCCAGGTTCCTGCTTGTGTTCCCATCGTGACTGCCCTCAATGTGGAGTGTGTCATGGAAGTGTAAGATGAAACATACCTGTCCTTTCCAAGCTGGGGTTGGTCACGTCTTTGTCACAGCAATGGAAAGCCACACAGCACAGTGTGTGCATGTGTGCTTGCCACAAGGTGTGTGTAGAAGTTACAGCTTGTGAGAGTCTGTTCTTTCTTCCACAAAGAATGAGTCCAAGGGATGAACTCAGGTTATGGGAGCTGGTGGCACTGCCTTTATCTGCTTAACCACGTTTCCAGCCCCAAATAATGTAACTTTAATCCTTTTTAAAATCCATACTTGGATTCAAGGGTTCCCCCTACTAACTCCTTCATCTTGTTCATGTGGTGGAGTTGGGTGGGCTTCCTGATAGAGAACAGAAATTGGCAAAACAAAACAAAATACCCCACAGGATCAAGGCAATCCCAGGTTCTGTGAGGCTGTTGGGAGAAGTTTGAATCTAAATGCACTTTTTTTTAATCTCCTCTAGACCCGACCCAAATGCCAGAGGTTCACATCCCAGAAAGTGGTGTGGGCAGAGGGCCTGCAACTTTGATCTGTACCATCGAAGACACCTGCCAGGAGCTGTGGAAGGGGCCTGCCATGTCTTCCAACACCATTGTCTCCCTCAGCTCCTCTTCAGAACTGTCCAGTGCCCTGAAGCCTAAGGACCAGGACACCACCTTCAGATGCCACTTAAGTTTACCCTTAGTCAACCTGACCAGCGGCAAAGTGGTCAAGCTAAAACTGGTCTGTGAGTGCTGGTGGGCACTGCCAGGGTCGATAGGTGGGGGAATGGTCGGCCCCAGGGCAAGACCTGGGTCCTGGAGGGGAGCAGTCATATCCCTCTGGGGCTGAGAGACTGCACGTAAGAGTGAAGTCTGAGTTTGGTATCAGTGCTGAGAAAAGATGAGTCTCAACTGTCCACTCTCAGACTTCTACAATGTCTCTGAAGTTCTGGGAATAACAAATGAGAAGTTTGGAGGCTACTGAGATGGTTTAAAGGCTGAGAGGGTTCATTCCTTGGATCAGTCACTTTTCTGCTGCTGTGATAGCATGCCAGGATCAAGGAAACTTATCCCAGAAAGAGTTTGTTTACTATGGTTCCCAAGGGACAGAGCCATTGTGGCAGAGAGCATGGCAGCTGGCACGGTGTCTGGACCACCCCCCCCACCCCCCCCCCCCCGGATGCTGAGAGCTCACACCCTTTACCATGAACAGAAAGCAAAGCACAAACAGGAAATGACCCACCTCCAGTGACATACTTCCTCTAACAAGGCCACACCCCCTAAGCCTCCTCAGTACCAACAGGGTACCAAGTGTTCAAATACATGAGCCTCTGGGAAGCATTCTCCTCCAAGCCACACTTCTTTTGCAGAGGAACTCAGTTCAGTTCTCCCCAGCACCCATGTTGGGCAGCCCAAAGCACCTATAACTCTAGCTCTAGGGCATCCTTCGCCCTCTTCTGGCCTCTGCGGGCACTGCACTCACATGAACATGCACAGACACACATATGCACGTAATTAAAAATAAATCTGGGCTTTGGAGGAAGTGAAGGAAAGTGTGGATGTCTCTCTGACCCCTGCCCCTTCTCCACAGCACCTGCTAGGCTGCTCAACTACTCGTGTTTGCTGAAGAGGACACTAACATGCAGTTGTTCCTTCCATGGGATCCCTACACCCTCTGTGCAGTGGTGGCTTGGAGGAACTCCTGTGAGTGTGAATAGCATAGATACCATCCTGCACATGACCTCTACCACACTGGAACCCTGGGCCAACACCACCATCCACCTCATGTGGAAACCAGAAGTCATTAGGAGACTTCGCTGTGAGGGGAAGAACCCATATGGAGTCCACGCTTCCAGGATCTTCCTGATACCAGGTGAGAGGGCAGAGGGCTAGTGACCGGACTGGAGGACCAGCTCGAGGGCCAGGATGAGACCAGGTGAGAGGGCAGAAGGCTAGTGACCGGACTGGAGGACCAGCTCGAGGGCCAGGATGAGACCAGGTGAGAGGGCAGAGGGCTGGTGACCGGACTGGAGGACCAGCTCGAGGGCCAGATGATACCAATCAGAACAGAAGGAAGAGAGTCATAGCTTGAAAGCCTCAGGACAACCTTGCTCTCTCCCCTCTCATTTCAGATAAAAGCTCCCTTTCCAGTGTCTTCCTGAAAGGGCTAATCCAGGGCGTTGTGTATGGGGCCATAGCATCTTCTTTACTCTTCTTCTTCCTTGTTGTCCTGGTGTGAGTATCAGAGCTCAAGTTCAGCACCAAACCCATTCCGGAGCCCACCAACGCACTTATTCTTTATTTGTAAAATCATGTTGATTCTTTCATTTGTGTGTGTGCACGTGCGCATGCCCACGCATGTGCCATGCATGCTTTATGAGTGGAGGCCAGAAGACACCGTCTAGGAGCTGGTCCTTTGCTTCACCATGTGGGTCAGTCTAGGTCGCAGGCTCCTTTATCCGGAGCCATCTCACACTTTCTCCCAGTTTGGTTGCTGTTGAAACAAACTCATTGTTAAGTTCCAGTCGTCTTTCTTTGTATTTAGGGCTATCCACTTCCCTTTAAGCATAAATTTAGTTGCATCTCACAGATGTGGAGACGAACTATGTTATTATCACTTAACTGAAGCATTTCCAGTTTCCAGTATGACTTTTAGCCCAGTAGAAATGTTGATGCTTTCTAGCAAATCCCCCCCCCCACTCTTTCAGTACTGCGAATTGAATACAAGTCTTTGAACACGATAGACAATTGTTCTATCACCGAGTCATGCCCAGGTCCCTCGCTGGGGGATTCTAGGTTGGCATTGCACCACTGTGTCCCATTTCCAGCCCTCTTTACACTTTGATTTTAAGACAGGATCCCAATCCAGTGATCTTGGGCTTCCTCGCCTTCCCAGTAGTTGGTATTAAAGGTCTGTACCACCAGGACCAATCAATCCTCTTTCTAGCTTAACTTAAATAGAATCATAAAGTACACTGTGCATAATAGCAATTTGTTTTCCTTGCAGCAAATTTTTATTTTAATAAACATTCTATAGAATATGGGCTTAAAGGAAATGTGCATTTTACACCTGTAAATGAAGTCATGAATCACACTTCCTTTAAGTCAACTTCGTTCATGGCAGCGCTGGGAAGATGGCTTAGTGAACAAAAGTGCTTGTCCCCAACCCTGACGATCTGACCCCCAGGGCTTAATGGTGGAAAGAGAGAATCAATTCCTGCAAGTTGTCCTCTGACGACCACACTCATGTTTATACACACACACACACACACACACACACACACACACACACGAAAAGGTAAATTCACTGTGTTGCCAAGGTCTGCTCCAACTCAACCATCTGAAGCGAGTCCTAGCCAAAGCATCTGGTCTTCAGAGCATGGCGGCCTCCAGCTTATGTCTGGTCTCTGGTAGTGCTTTCAGAGCATGGCGGCCTCCAGCTTATGTCTGGTCTCTGGTAATGCTTTCAGAGCCATTTTCAGTTATTTTTGTAGAAGGATGCTTTTCAGACAGGAAATGAAAATTTGGATCTCACTCTCATCATTCACACAGAAGCCAAAAAGAAGGCTGTTCATCTGGAAAGAGACAGAGGCCGATGGACGTCTATAGAACTCTGGCTCCAGCTGATAGAGTGAGGGAGGTGTATAATAAGTCAGAGCCCACAGGCAGCTATGGTGACCAACAGGCCTTGGCTGTTGCCAGAGCAAGAGAATATTGATATGTCCACTGGAGGGAGGGAGGGAGAGAGAGAGAGAGAGAGAGAGAGAGAGAGAGAGAGAGAGTCTTTGTCCTGGAACTGATAGGAAACCTCAGAAAGACCGTGACCAAGATAGAAACAGAGCAGTTTCTAGGGACTGGTATAGTAACATTTCACTTGTATCTTATTAAATAAAGTTGCCTGAGGATCGGGAAAGTAAAATAGGGACACTGGTCAGCCTTACAGACCAGCCAGCAATGATGTACACCTTTAATCCTGGTAGCCATACTAGTTGCCATAGAAACAGGGCAGTGCATACCTTTAATCCCAGTAGTACACGCCTTTAATCCCAGCCCTGGAGAGCATTGTGAGACTGGAGGAGACAGCTCCCCACAGTCTCATTCTGAGATTCCTGGAGGCGGGATCACCATTTTCAGACTGAGGTCGAGGTAAGAGCCAGTGGCTGGCTGCTTTGCTTTCTGGATCTTCAGGTTGAACCCCAGTTTCTCTCTCTGAGCTTTTATTAATCGGAGCTTCAGACTGGACGGTGATAGCTTAGAGACCAGAAGGTGTGCAGAGGCTGGGGAGAGAGTCTACACCAAGAGAGTTTGATTTCTTTCAGATGAGTGGGCTGGCCACAGAAGCAGCATGTGGAGACAACCTGGTGCTCTGGCAGCAGTCCAGGGCTGGTTTCGGGAATGGTGGTGATGATGGTACAGAGTAGGGGTGTCCAGCACTGAAGCGTCGTTAGAGACTGAAAGCAGCACTCACTACAGGGCTCATTTTCTTAGAATGAAGATGCTTAATTGGTGGGAGGAAAACCAAACCTGCAAGAACAAAGAGGCCCTGACCCTGAAACCAGTTTCAGAAGGAGCCAAAACAACTCAAGTCTGAAGCCTGGGCTGGGGTAAGTGCCAGTCAGCCTGAGCTGTGTGCTTGGCTGGCAGAAGGGATGCGAGCCAGGCCTTCCCAGCCCGCCGGGGCACAACCACTCGGGGGAGCACACACTCTTTGGGGCCAGCCATGGCAGTCCCATATGTGCCTGCCAGCATGGAGGGGCAGGGATTTAACTGCGTGTGGGTCTGGATTTACTCAAAGCCCTGCAGAAGGCATGGCAAAGGCCCTGTGTAGCCTCCAGCCCAGCGTTGCCCCACTTTCAGACAGGCTGATGATGCTCATTCAGGACTGTGAATTCCAGTGTAAATGCTTTTAAGTCAACACTTACATTTGCCATGCAAAAGTGCCACAGAACGGGTGCCCTCAAGACAGGGTTTTTTTCCTTAATTCTGGAGGCTAAAGGCCAAGACGGAAGTGTCCAGATGGCTGGCCTCTCTTGGGGGCACTCTCCTTCACATGGAGATAGATGACAGTGTCCTTTCTGCATCCTCACAGGATCGTCTCTGATCGAATTTGTGTCATCATTCCCTCCCCCTCCTCCTCCTGCTCCTCCTCCTCCTCCTCCTTCTCCTCCTCCTCCTCTTCCTTCTCTTCCTCCTCCTTCTCCTTCTCCTCCTCCTCCTCCTTCTCTGACATTTGGTCTGTTTGTTTTTTGTAATTCCAGGTTTAGAATGTAGGGCCTTGCTCATTCCAGGCAAGCGCCCCACTGCAGAGCCACACTCCAGCCCCTCACTGGGCTGATTCTAGAAAAGCCCTCTATCACATTCCTATATTCCCTGTCTTCTTTTACTTTTTTTTTTTTTTTTGAAGACAGGGTCTCACTATGTCACCCAGTGAGACCTTGAACTTTGAGATCCTCCTGCTTCAGCCTCCTAGTGCTGGTAGGATGATGGTTGTTCCCTGCCATTCCCACCCTAGTCTCTTGTCCATATTGGGTCTAATCCACCCATGTGAACTCATCTTTCTTGATTACCTCTGTAAAGTCTTGTCTAGAAATGTGGTTGTATTCTACGGTGGTAAAGGCCTGGCTTTTAACATAGAAATTAGGATGAAGGGGCTGAGGTTGCATGCTTGCCTCACATCGCATGCATGAAGCCCTGGGGCTGATCCCTAGTGCCACACAACTGGGCTGAGGCTCACACCTCATCCATTCCAGCGCTCGAACGACAGAAGAGGAAGGATCAGGAGTTCCAGCTACAGAGTGAGTTGGAGGCCAGCTTGGGCTGTATGAGAGCCTGTCTCAATCAAGCAAGCAATCAATAAATGGCAAAAAGTAAGATTTTTTTTAAGATTCCAAAGATCAGTCTTTTTTAATTTAATTAATTAATTATTTTCCATCCCAACTGTAGTTTCCCCTCCCTCCTCTCCTCCCAATTTCTCCTGCCTCTCTTCTGACCACCCACTCCCCATCCACTCCTCCTCTGTTTCTGTTCAGAAAGGGGAAGGCCTCCTACAGGTATATTAACAAAGCATGGCATCTCAAGTCTTGTCGAGTAAGATTAATCATCCCCTCTTGTATTTAGGCTGAGCAAGGCATCCCAGTAAGAGGAACAGGTTCCCCAAAGCCAACCAGAGCATTAAGGAAAGCCTCTGTTTCCATGTTAGGAGTCCTACAAATCGACCACGCTACACAACTGCCACGTGTATGTAGAGGGCTTAGGGCTTAGGTCAGTCCTATGCAGGCTCCCTGGCTCTTGGCTCAGACTCTGTGAGCTCCTATGAGTCAAGTTGGTTGTTTCTGTGGGTTCTCATGTGATGTCCTTGATCCCTGTGACTCCTGTAATCCTTCCTCCCTCTTTTCAGCAGGATTCCCTGAGCTTGAACTAATGTTTGGCTGTGGGCTTGTATCTGTTTCCATCACTTACTGGATGAAGGTTCTCTGACGACAGTTGGGGTAGGCACCAATCTGCTCACGGGAGATGGCAAGTTCAGTCTATGTACGTACTATTGCTAGGAGTCTTAGCTGAGGTCATCCTTATGGATTCATGGGAGTTTCCATTGCATCAGGGTTCTACGTGAACCCAAAAAGCCCCTCTATTTCCAGTCGTCTTTCCAGTACCCTCTCTCTTTACCTCCCCCACAACCCTATCTCTCGAGTTCCCATCCCTACCGTCCCCAAATCCATCCAGGAGATCTCTTCTGTTTGTCCTGCCTAGGGAAATCAATGAGTCCCTCCTTGGGCTTTCCTTGTTACCTCACCTGTGGATTGTAGCATGGTTATCCTTTCAAGAAGTATGATGTTTCTATGAGCGACACCTTTTACCTGAGGTCAGAGGAGCCAGTCCACCCCTGCACGGGTGGGACACTCAGAACAGGAACTGGATTTGCCACCACCAAGGAGAGGCAGCCTCTGATGCTCTATAGTCCAGGGCCATGGAGAGAGCAAGCAGAGTCCATGTGGGAACTGCAGATGGATCATGGCATGTGCCAGACCCCTCTAGCCCCAACAGACCTGCAGAGGACTAAGGCCATCTCCACCTAAGACTCCAGAGCCAGATACTTACAGCCCGGCTCTCACTGCTGCTGGGAAAACCTGCTCCTATCCAGGCCTCCCCTTTTTCTCCCCTTATCTCACAGTCTTCCCTTTCCTCCCCTTCTCCTCCTTTTCTCTTCCTCTTCCTCTTCCCTCTTCCTTCTCTTCTTTCTCCTCACTCTCCTCCTCTTCCTTTCTTCCCTCCTCTTCTCCTACCTCCCAAGTAGTTGCATCCCAGGTGGGTGATCTGGTCCTTGCTTATGGCTCAAGGGCAGGTATCAGAGGAGGGAGGGTCTTGGCTGCACCAGAAAGTCGTGTGGGGCTCAGGGTACTCAATCACAGAGAAAGCAGGAAGGAATGAGCCAGCTACCTTTACTGTGTGTGGTGAGATGTCCTAAAGAGAGAACAGTTGTGAATACAGCGCCACATTGGTGGCTACACGCACCTGCTGTGGGTAGATCCCTTAACCTTACTCTCTTTTTATATCTGTTTTTTTTTCATTCCCTTTGCCCCCACACGCCCACATGCTTTCTTATGTTCCCAATACTTCACATTACTTTGGTTGCTTTGTAGGTCCCATGCATTTTGGGTGCACATGGAGCTCTTTTCTGCAGCCCCTCCTCTCTTTGAGATAGGGTTTTATATAGACCAGGCTGGCCTTCAACTTCATCTGTAGCTGAGGATGACCTTAAACTCCTTATTTTCCTACCTTCGCCTGCCTTGTGCAGGAATTGCAAGCATGCATCCCCATGCCTGGGTTATTGGTGCTGGGAAGGATGCCAGGGCCTCATGAGCACGAGGCACACACTCTGAGCCACACGCCCGGCTGCCTTTCGCCATTCTCACTCTTCCCTCCCTTCTTCCTCGTTCTCTCATTTATCAAACATTTCCCCAGGGACCCAGGTGACACTCTGCACTGAATGCTGTGGGGACACAAGGTCACAATTAATGAAAACCCAGAGACAGATATTGGGGTTCAGTCTGGAGACCAGAAAAGCAAAGCAATCAAGCCACTAGATTGAAAGGCTTACCTCTGCCGAGGTTGAGCGACTGCAGACTAGCTAGACTAGGCAGGCTAAGCAGTCCGAGCCTCTTCTCCCATTTTTTTTTTTTTTTTGGTTTTTTCGAGACAGGGTTTCTTTGTGGCTTTGGAGCCTGTCCTGGAACTAGCTCTGTAAACCAGGCTAGTCTCGAACTCACAGAGATCCGCCTGCCTCTGCCTCCTGAGTGCTGGGATTAAAGGTGTGCGCCACCATCGCCCAGCTCTTCTCCCATTTTATATTCCCTCTAGTGCTGGGATTAAAGGCGGTGATTTCCCCAGACCTGGGATTAAAGGTGTGGGCCACCATCACTTGGGTTTGTTTCTGCATTGATCTTGTATAGCCCAGGGTGGCTCTGAACCCACAAAGATCCATCTGCCTCTGCCTTCCAAATCCTGGGACTAAAGGTGTGTATCACCATTGCCTGACCTCTAATGGCTTAGCTTTGCCCTTCTGATCTTTAGGCAAGCTTTATTTATTAAAACATAAATAAAAATATCACTGTACACAACAGTCTGGTGACCGCCCAGACCAAGACACAAATTTATCCCATAGGTAAAGCAAGACCAAATACCCCATAGAGGAAGATACTTCTGTCCCCATTGAGGCGTGCTCACCTCAGGCTCTTCTGAACTGTCTTTGTGGATCAAAGGATGACTAAGCCCCCAAGGGAACATCACAGTTCAGGCAGCAGTTGGTGGTTGATCCCGGAGAGGCGATGACAAAATGTACAAGGAGAGAGCCAGGCAGACAGTTGTGTGTCATTGCCTATTGCTACAGATGAAGGGAGCGGCTGAGACTGTGGTCTGGGACTTCCTCAGTCCAGCAACCCCCGGGATGTGGTGGGGTCAGCACACCCACTGACAGAGCAGGAAACGGACACAGGTATGGTAAAGGAGTCTTTGGGAAGTGGGGAAGGAAGACACAGCCTGTGTCTCCTTGCAGAGTTCCTCCAGGGTCCTTCTGCTGCCCACAGCAAAGCAGAACTATTTAAAGACTGTGGCTCTGTTTCTGCAGTGCAGGCAATAAAGGGTGATGTCTTCGTCACTTTTCCATTGTTGCCATAAAACATCATGGCCACTTACAAAAGGAAGAGTTTGTTGGGGAGCTCACACTTGCGGAGGTCAGAGCCCAAGGCGGTCACAGTGGGGAGCGGGGCTCACAGAGGTCAGAGCCCATGGCTGTCACGGTGGGCAGCGGGGCTCACAGAGGTCATAGCCCATGGTTGTCACGGTGGGCAACGGGGCTCACAGAGGTCATAGCCCATGGCTGTCACGGTGGGCAGCGGGGCTCACAGAGGTTAGAACCCAAGGCTGTCACAGTGGGGAGCAGGGCTCACAGTTGCAGAGGTCAGAGCCCATGGCTGTCATGGTGGGCAGCGGGGCTCACAGTTGCAGAGGTCAGAGCCCATGGCTGTCATTGTGGGCAGTGGGGCTCACAGTTGCAGAGCCCACGGTGGGGAGCATGACAGCAGGCAGGCGGGC